ATGTAAACATGCATGTGCAAGTATCTTTTTCATATAATGACTTTTTTTCCCCTGAGTAGATACCCAGTAGTGGGGTTGCTAAAACAAACTAAACTATTTTTACTTCTTTAAGGAATCTCCATACTGTTTTCCATAGTGGTTGTACTAGTTTACATTCCCACCAACAGTGTAAAAGTGTTCCCTTTTCACCACATCCACACCAACATCTATTATATTTTGATGTTTTGATTATGGCTATTCTTTGGGGAATAAGGTGTTATTACATTGTGGTTTTGATTTGCATTTCCCTCATCATTAGTGATGTTGAGCATTTTTTCATAAGTTTGTTGGTCATTTGTATATCTTCTTCTGAGAATTGTCTATTCATGTCCTTAGCCCATTTTTTGGATGGGATTGTTTGGTTTTTTTCTTGCTGATTTGTTTCAGTTCTTTGTAGATTCTGGATATTAGTCCTTTGTCAGATATATAGATTGCAAAGATTTTCTCCTGCTCTGTCGGCTGTGTTCTTTCTCTGCTGATTATTTCTTTTGGGTTCTTGGTCATGAAGTCTTAGCCTAAGCCAATGTCTAGAAGGGTTTTTCCAATGTTATCTTCCAGAATTTTTATGGTTCTAGGTCTTAGATTTAAGTCCTTGATCCATTTTGAGTTGATTCTTTATAAGGTAAGAAATGAGGGTCTAGTTTCATTCTTCTACATGTGGCTTGCCAATTAACCCACCACCATTTGTTGAATAGGATGTCCTTTTCCCACTTTGTGTTTTTGTTTGCTTTGTTGAAGATCAGTTGACTGTAAGTATTTGGCTTTATTTCTGGGTTTTCTATTCTATTTCATTGGTCTATGTGTATATTTTCATAGCAATACCATGTTGTTTTGGTGACTATGGCCTTATAGCATAGTTGGAATCAGGTAATGTAATGCCTCCAGGTCTGTCCTTTTTGCTTAGTCTTGCTTTGGCTATGCAGGCTCCTTTTTGGTTCCATATGAATTTTAGGATTTTTTTTTTCTAGTTCTGTGAAGAATGATGGTGGTATTTTGATGGAAATTACATTGAATTTGTAGATCACTTTTGGAAATACGGTCATTTTAACAGAATTGATTCTAACCACTGATGAGCATAGGTTGTGTTTCCATTTGCTTGTGTCATCTGTTACTTCTTTCAGCAGTGTTTTGCAGTTTTCCTTAGAGAGGTCTTTCACCTCTTCGGTTAAGTATATTCCTAAGTATTTTTGTTTTTGCAGCTATTGTAAAAGGGGTTGAGTTCTTGATTTGATTCTCAGTATGGTCACTGTTAGTGTATAGCAAAGCTACTGATTTGAGTACAGTAATTTTGTATCCTGAAATTTTGCTGAATTTATTTATCAGTTCTAGGGACTTTTTGGATGAGTATTTAAGGTTTTCTAGGTATATAATCACATCATCAGCTAGCAGTGACAGTTTGACTTCCTCATCACCAATTTGGATGCCCTTTGTTTTTCTCTCTTGTCTGATTGCTCTGGCTGGGACTTCCAGTACTATGTTGAATAAAAGTGGTGAGAGTGGGTATCCTTGTCTTGTTCCAGTTCATAGGGGGAATGCTTTTAACTTTTCCCTGTGGGGTATAATGTTGGCTGTGGGTTTTGATATAGATGAGATTTTAACGAGGGTTTTAATAATAATGGGATGCTGAGTTTTGTCAAATGCTTTTTCTGTGTCTATCAAGATAATTATGTGATTTTGTTTTTAATTCTGTTTATATGGTGTATCACATTTATTGACTTGCAGATGTTAAACCATCCTTGCATCCCTGGGTCATACTAAATTTTGAGAAATTAAAAGCTTTTCTCTAAGATCAGAACAAGGCAAGAATGCCTATTCTCATCACTTCTTTTCAACATAGTACTAGAATGTCTATCCAGAGCAACTTGGCAAGAAAAAGAGATAAAAATAATCCAAATCAGAAAGTAAGAAGTAAAATTGTCTCTGTTCACAGATGACATAATCTTACATATAAAAAACCCTAAATATTAAACAAAAAATCTGTTAGATATCACAAGCAAATTCAGTGGTTTCAGAATGCAAAATCAATGTAGAGAAAATTATTATCATTTCTAAATGCTAAAAAAAAAACTAAAAAGAAAATTGAGAAAATAATTCCATTTAAAGTAACATCAAGGCCAGATGTGGTGGCTCATGCCTGTAATCCCAGAACTTTGGGAGGCTGAGGTGGTCAGATCACTTGAGGTCAGGAGTTTGAGACCAGCCTGGCTAACATGGTAAAACCTCATCTCTACTAAAAATACAAAAAATTAGCTGGGCATTGCGGCATATGCCTCTAATCCCAGGTACTGGGGAGGCTGAGGTGGGAGAATCATTTTAATTTGGGAGGCAGAAGTTTCAGTGAGCCGAGATCATGCCACTGCACTCCAGCCTGGGTGACAGAGTGAAATTTCATGAAAAAAAAAAAGCAAAATAAATAAATAAAGTAGCATCAAAAATTATAAAATACTTAGAAATAATCTTAACCAAGAAGGCAAAGCACTTGTGCTATAAAAACTATAAAACATTGATAAAGGAAACCAAAGAAGACACAGATCAATGGAAATACATCTCATGCTTATGGACTGATAGGGTTAATATAGTTGAAATGCAATCTAATAATTCAGTGTGATCCCTACCATAAATCCCAATGTTATTTTTTGCAGAAAGAAAAAAATTCTAAAATTCATATGGAATATTATGAAATCCCTACTAACCAAAATAACCTTGAAAAATAACAGATTTGGTTGCCTCACACTTCCTGATTTCAAAATATGTTCCAAAGCTACAGTAATTGAAACAGTGCAGTGCTGACATAAAGACAGACATAGAGACCAATGTAAGAGGATAGAGTCCAGTAATAAACTCTCACACATATGGTCAAATAATCTCCAAAAGTTGCCAAGACCACACAATGGGGAAAGAACAATCTCTTTAACAAATGATGCTAGAAATACTGGGTATCCACAGGCAAAAGAATCAAGTTGAATCCTTACCTAACATCATATACAGAAATTAACTCAAAATGTTTTAAAGACCTAAACAAAGGCCTAAAACTGTAAAACCCCTGGAAAAAACAACATAAGCAAAAAGATTCATGACATTGAAATTGGCAGTATATTGGATATGAAACCAAAATCATAGGGAGCAAAAGCAAAAAAAAAAAAAAAAAAAAATAGAAAAATGGAACTCCATCAAACTAAAAAATTTCTACAAAGCAAAAGAAACAATCGGCCGGGCGCGGTGGCTCAAGCCTGTAATCCCAGCACTTTGGGAGGCCGAGGCGGGTGGATCACGAGGTCAAGAGATCGAGACCATCCTGGTCAACATGGTGAAACCCTGTCTCTACTAAAAATACAAAACATTAGCTGGGCATGGTGGTGCGTGCCTGTAATCCCAGCTACTCAGGAGGCTGAGGCAGGAGAATTGCCTGAACCCAGGAGGCAGAGGTTGCGGTGAGCCGAGATCGCGCCATTGCACTCCAGCCTGGGTAACAAGAGCAAAACTCCGTCTCAAAAAAAAAAAAAAAGAAACAATCAACTAATAAAAATCCTATGAAATGAAAGAAAATACATGCAAATCATATATCTGGTAAGGAGTTAATATCAAGAATATATAAGTAATGCCTCCAACTCAACAACAATAAAACAACCCAGTTAAAAACTGGGCACGGTACTTGAATAGACATTTCTCCAAAGAAGATACATACATTGTCAACAGTACATTTAAAATATTGCTCAGCAGGGTGTGGTGGCTTGCACCCAGCACTTTGGGAGGCCAAGCTGTGTGGATCACAAGGTCAGGAGTTCGAGATCAGCCTGGCCAAGATGGTGAAACCCTGTGTCTACTAAAATTCAAAAATTAGCCAGGCATGGTGGCGGATGCCTGTAATCCCAGCTACTCAGGAGCCTGAGGCAGAGAATTGCTTGAACCTGGGAGGCGGAGGTTGCAGTGAGCCAAGATCACTGCCACTGCACTCCAGCCTGGGTGACAGAGTGAGACGCTGTCTCAAAAAAACAAAAATGTTGTTCAACATTATTGATTATTAAAGGAATGCAAATCAAAATTACAATGAGATATTTCCTCACCTCCATTAGGATTGCCACTATTCAAAAAGCAAAACAAAACAAAATAACAAGTGTTGACAAGAATGTGAAGTGAGACCCTTGGGTACTCTTGCTGGTGATATTAAATGGTGCAGTCAGTATCAAAATAGTATGAAGCTTCCTCAAAAAATTAAAAATAGAACTACCATGTGATCCAGAAATCCCATTTATGGGTATATGTCCAAAGAATTGAAAACGGGAACTCTAAAAGATTATTTGCACACCCACATTTATGGCAGAATTATTCACAATAGCCACAGAGTGGAAGCAACCTAAATGACAATTGACAAGTAAATGAATGGAAGTGTGGCATCTTAACGAATTCTCACCACAAAAAAAGAGAAAAAGAAGGTTAAATATATGATGTATGGATATATTAATTAGCCTGATTGTGGTAACCATTTCACAATATATATGTATATCAAATCATCACAGTGTACACCTTAAATAAAACAAAGAAACAAAAAGAAAGTGTGAGATGTATATACAATGGAATGTTATTCAGCCCTGGAGTGAAAGAAAGTCCTGTCATATACTAGAACACAGATTAATTTTGAGGATATAATACTAAATAAAATAGGTTATACAAAAAATGACACATACTGTATAATTTCACTTATATAAAGTGTTTAAAATGGTCTCATAGAAACAAAAGTAGAGAAGTGATTCCCAGGGCTTTCAGGAATGGGGAGATGGACAGCTGCTGTTCAATGGGTGGAGAGCTCCGTTTTGCAAGATGAAAAAGTTCTAGAGATCTATTACACAGCAATGTGAAAATAGTAAACACTACTGAACTGCACACTTAAAAATGGTTATGACAGTAAATTTTATGTTATGTGTTTTTTCTGCAATTAAATAATTTAAAAATGAAAGCAGTACCTGCTCTGCTTCCGTGTTGATCACAAGCAAATGCGCTCCCATCTCAGCACAGTTCTGCTCACTCTTAGACCAAAACTTCTCTTCGCTAGAAATGAAATAGCAACTGGAACCAAATGGCTTCCAAGAAGCTGGACAACATTCCCAGGCTATTTTTGTGTTACATAAAAAAAAAAAAAGAGTGAGTGCAAGATGAGATAAATAAGATTAATGATCTGTGGTTGCTTTCTACAGACAGTTTCTTAATTCATGTTTTTGCTGTTTCCTGAATTACATAATTTGGGGTCCTAGAATTGATTTCAAATAAACATTCTTTAGCATTAAGTCCTCAGTATGTATTAAAGTTACCAGCAGAATTTCTCTGGGTTTTCTTTAAAAAAAAAAAAAATTACGATTGAGTTTTGTTTTTCATGTCCCTTATGCATTATGAGCACCAAGTCCTCCTACAGTTTTAAATGACGAACACAGACGAACCTAGAAACTCAATTCTGCTCCGTAATCTTTCACAAGCCACAGGGCCTTAGGTTTTTAAAATGATAACTACTCACAGGTTAGTTATGAGAATTAGAATTATGCCTCTTTAGAATTCTGGCTCCCCAATTTATCAGGTATGTCTTTGGGCAAATTCGTAACCTCCTTGAGCCTCAATTATTGCCTTTCCAAAATGGAAATAATAATAGGGCCAACCTCACAGGGGGATTTAATCACATAATAAGTATAAAGCATTTTAAAAGATGCTTAACGTAGAATAATTGCTCAATAAATGTTACCTATTACTAATGTTCCCACCATATTAAGTGCTTAAGCGTCTTAAACAATTAGCAGTTCTCTCCCGTCCCCTTACAAGTACCAGTTTGCCACTATCCTAGGATTAAAGAAATCCATAGCTCGTCATATATAAATCCACTGATATATTTTCATTATACTTAAAATCAATATGATTTTGATTTCATATAATTTAAACAAATATCTATGTATGCCTAAATAGTAAATTGTTTAGATTTGTTGGTTTTTGAAATTTGAAACAGTAATTATAATATATGTGATCTTCTTGGGCTTATTTTTTTTATTTTGCATTGCTAATATTCATCCATGTTATCACACATAGTTCTATTTTATTCCTTTTTACGTTATTACATCATTACATATTCAATGATTAAAACCCAGAAAGCTTATTCTTCCTTTTATAATGTTATAAAATGAATATAATAGATTAACCACCTCTATATTGTTTGCATGTTGGCTGCTTTTAGAAATATACTTTCATTGTGCATTCTGCTCACTATTAATGATTGTTTTAATATGTCCCAACGTATGTGTTAACATATGATTTGAATTTTTAAAAGTCAAATTTGCCTGACTTTGCCAACTGAGATATATATGCCAAAAATTTTTCATAAGCTGAACATATGAAATTGCCACTCGAAGGTTGACAAAAAATATTGACAGCTGTGATCAATAAAAGCATCTGTCGAAAAGGTATAACCAACATTAATTATATTTTATTTTCTCAGTTTATGCTGAGTATAATGAGCTGATCAAGTTACTTTGCAAGTGTAGAAAGTAACAGATGAAAATCATAATCATTTGATAAGCCTTGTTAGAACGCTTTTGGGTATACTTTTGAGAAAGCAAACAACTACTGACTGAGAAATAACAAATCTCTTGCAAAATTATTCTACAATATTTCTTATTCTTTACTTTCAACAACACTGGGGGTAACCTGACCAAATTCTCAGTTTGCAAACCATTATAAATAATTTTTGGCAATAAATTACTATATAATCTTAAGCAGATAATGCTGAAAGAATATCAAAAATTGAGCTACATTCAAACAAAATTTTTTCATTCTTATCCACTGATTAAGGTAAGCAAGATTTTTCAGTTAATGTTGTTAAACTGGAAAATAGGAGTTGAATTGATGTTGAATATGTTAGCAATAATATTATAGTTACATTTGATAACTTTTTAAAAGTTTCATTCATCTCATTAAGACTTAGACTTCCAATACTTTTTCTTTATTATTAATGATTTATCAAAGTTAATAATAAATTTGTGATGTTTTGCTATTATGTCCTGATAATAATTATGATAATAAATCAATCCAGAGCACATTTTATAACACTTGAAGCCTAATGGTCCACAGGAAAGCAAAATATTTTTTGATTATCTACATATTTTTACAGATGAGGAAAGCATCATGTAAATTTTAGCTCAAGGGGATAGACGAATGATGTAAAACATCCAACTGTTAAATAATACATGTTTATTATTGTTTCAATAGATGATGGGGTTAACACTTGGTAATAGTATTTGCACACAAGTAAATACGTTTTAAAAGAGAAATGACAGTTTGGTTTTTTAAAGTCAACATTTACAATGTTCCAGAAATTAAAGCTTTTGCTTCTATAGCATGATGAAAAATTTAATGTCAAATTAAACTGTATAGGAGAGTACGTATGTTTTCAAAATCCTTTTTGGGGGTTGACAAGCAAAATAATTAAAAACAAGCTGGTCTAAGCAGAGTGCAAGTGAACTGAGGGAACTCTAGCTGTTCCTATGCGGCTGAACGTCTCCACACGCTGAGACCGAGTGGGAAACAAACTGAAGAAGGTACAGTGTGGATTCCAATTATTCTTTAACTATTCTTCAATTATTCTTGGATTCAATTATTCTTACCCTTAATCAAAAGGAAATTTTGTGTTTGGACTTTTTATTTTTCATTGTAATGATAATTTGAAAGGATGTTGTTAAAATTAGAGTACTTTTATTGGCTGACATGGTATTATATAAAATAATCGTATTTTACCACATAAGCTTTTCTGTAACTTTAAGTAGTTGTATTGGACAGGTTGGCTGGTCATAATTTCACATGGGATATACTTAGGGGGCAAATTAACAGTCTCTTATGCCAGATGGATATAGAGTTAATTGAATTAATATCCATCTCTGTCCCATTTCAGAGCATTCTGAAGGCAAAAGCTAAGGTGCCCATTGCTGCTTCCAGGATAATATGCATTCAAATGCTAGTTGTTGAAGCAGTGTTCCACATAGGTGGGAGGAAGGCTATCCTGATACAATTATGATCCCCCCACCCCACCCCCCGACAAGAAGAGTCAGCTCCAACCTGTTTCACTAAAAAACCCTCAGCATGATGTAAGCTGGGGAAAGTTAAAAAAAAAAAAACACAAAAACAAACAAACAAACAAAAAACATCCTTTACATCTCCCATGTACCATGTTCTCGACAAATACCAAAAAGAAAATTCCTGAATCTCCTGGAAGTACAAAGAAGCTTCTTCCTCTCTTCAATTTTCACAGGCTTCTCAATAAAAGCAGAGGAATTAATTGGTTTTTGAAATAGCAAGAGTCCGACATCTGTCTAGATTACATTTCTTTACTTTGGAAGCCATAAAGACCACTATTTCCTTCTCTTTCCCTTTTTTTTTTTTTTTTTTGAATGTCCTAAATTATTTATTAGATATGAAGTTTACAAAGTTTACTGATATCAGGAGTAAGACTGGAGCTGCAGAGTATTGCGCCTTCTCCAAGCTGCGGACGAGAACCACAAATGTGTGGTGGAACTTACGGCCCTTTCCAAGACCATGGCTCCTTCGGGCTGCAGATGTCAGCCTGCGCGTCTCCCTGTGCTTGTGGACTGGTTTGCAGATCCACTGGGTGTCAGGATTTCTTCCGATAGCTTTATAGCATGGATCAATGAGGATAAGCTCAAAAATTTTTTATGTGGCATCTTCACCAACCCAGTGAGAATTCAGGACTCTCAGAGCCCCACAGCGTCGTCCAGCGTGCTCCTCTGCAGCAGACTGAAGGCTTGGAGCAAACTTCAGCTGGTTAACACCGTGAGGGACAGGCTTGCCCTAAGTTACACACAGGAACTGGACGTTTTCAGCCACCAGGACGAACACGAATCCTTTTTTTTTTTTCTTAAACATGGATGTCTCCTCATTTATTTAAATCTTTATAATTTCTTTTTTTTTTCCATTTATTTATTTTATTGCATTTTAGGTTTGGGGGTACATGTGAAGAACATTTTTTTTTTAAAGATGGGGTTTCACCATGTTGGTCAGGCTGGTCTTGAACTCCCGACCTCAGGTGATTCGCCCGCCTTGGCCTCCAAAGTGCTTGGATTACAGGTGTGAGCCACCACGCCTGGCCTACCAATCCTATGTATAACGTAACCTTGCTTGTCCTTGTAGCCCAGTCTACGCTTTATCTGGGCGGGCGGGCGGGGCGGGGAGACCTGTGGAGAGCAGAGCTGTTGGTGCTGCCAGCAGCAGACCCTCCAAAGGAAGCACAGGACATCAGACTGCCTCTTTCTCTGTAACTCCTGGATGTGCTTATCTGCGCCCATCTTGGTTAAGTGACAGCTGCCGCCAGGCGGAAAGCCTCTTTTCCTTTTTCATGAAGCTGCCTGATACGGTTTGGTTCTGTTTCCACCCAAATCTCATCTTGAATTGTGGGAGTTACCCTGTGGGAGATAACTGAATCACGGGGGTGGTTCCCCCATACTGTTCTCGTGGTAGTGAGTAAGTTTCACAAGATCTGATGGTTTGATAAGAGGAAACTCGTTTCACTTGGCTCTCAGTCTCTCTTCTCTTATCTGCTGCCACCTGAGACGTGACTTTCACCTTCCACCATGATTGTGAGGTCTCCCAGCCACGTGGAACTCTGAAACCAATAAACCTCTTTCTTTTGTAAATTGCCCAGTCTTGGGTTATGTCTTATCCGCAGCATGAAAGCTGACTAATGCACTAACCATGATCCTAAATTCAACTCTGCCAACTCTCCACATATGAAGTTAACAACAGTATATTTTAGACAGGGATCAGTCTCATCCTGAACCAATTTAACCAGTAATAAAGCTGGTATTTCGGATGGAGATAGGTAGTATTAATTGGGAAACTTAAATATCAAAGAAAGTATTTTATGCATTTGATGGAGGGTGAGGAGAATGTAAAAACTGAGAATTGTTATGAATAATTTCCAGGGTTGACCTGAGCAAATTACATGCATGTAGGTTTATAGTATTTACCAAGCTCAAAAAGCTGAAGAAGAAATTGTTTTGGGGGCATGTCTAGAGCCTGATATGAACATGTATGTTTAGAGAAATCATGAAAATATCCAAGCAGAAACCTTAATAAAACATACACACACAAATGCACAATAGAATAGACCAACTTTGAACTCAACCCTGATCTCTCCCTGAGAAATAAGAAAATCTATTTAAGCATTTTAAAGCTTTACCTGTCATCTTTGTCCCTTCACTGACGCAAGTGAGACTTGAATGACATGAGTGTAGATCAGACAGACTCTTGCCAGTTTTGCCATGTGTAAAATGGTAAGTTACTGTGAAGGAAGAAGAAGGATTAGTGCCCATCTATTATTTTGCTACGGAGCCTCAGGCTCTATATCTGTACAGTGCTGACTAACCTCTGACCCCACCACTCTTTCTCTCTGCAAGCCCAGTAAAGACCATGCCAAATTATTATTTGCTCGTACTCATTTTATCTTATTTGCTTTTATATACCTATCTCCCATTTAATTGTTTGGTCTTTTCACCACTAGGATGTAGGCTCCATACACGTGGACAGAGATTCTCCCTGTTTCCTACAATTAAGCACAAACACAACTTAAAGGATAGGACAAATGCTCGGGAGGCTAAATACTCCATTCTCCATAACGTGCTTATTTCACGTTGCATGCTTGTATCAAAACATCTCATATACCTCGTAAATATATGCACCTACTATGTACCCACAAATTTTTAAAATAATGATTTTTAAATATTTTATTATTAAAAAAATAAGGAGGAAATCTGAAGGCGAAAACTAAAAATTTTTTTTTAATTGCAAACACCTAAAAAAGTAACTGTCACAAAGTCATCAATAAATATTTATTGACTCACTGGATGTCTGCTTCTCTTCAGCCTTAATAACCTTGATGCAAGCACACAGGTTATTTTGATGTTTTCTAAATAATACTAGCTTCAAGTAGCCACACATAAACATATGGGCTAAGTAACAACAAAGGGGAAACTTTAAACACTTATAAAGATATTTTGAATGTCTCAAATGAACGTTAACTTTTATGTTAATGTACACATTCAGCAGGATCTTTTATCTCACAGAATCTGATCGGATTCTTCACACATTTCTTTTTTGTCCTTCTATAACTAAAACTCAATACAGTCAAATCTTTCTACCCTGCTCTTTAGTCCATATTTTGAGGTCCTGAATTTATGTTTCTTTTTATGAAATAACTATTCTTAAACTCCCTTCTCTCTTGCACTTGATTATAAAAAGCAAAACAGATTCCAACTTTGGTGCTAATTACTTGTATTTTACTGAATATTGTCAGATTTATCTAAATCCCTGAGGGAACTACAGCCATGACCCGATTGACAGGGGAAGTCACTTTTACTCCCTCCCAGACTATTCAATAACTATTTTTAATCACCTTATCAGTGAATAGAAATTCAAATTGTGAATCGGAGAGGAAAAAGGTCTTAAAGACTTCTCACACAATGAGCCTGAGACGTGCTCAGATGAAAGCAGAAGAGGAAAGAAATCTTTTATTCTCTTTATCTCCATTATTTCATTTGAATACTTTTTACTCTCACACTAGAAAAGATCTGCATAAGGGCCGAAGCAAATAACCCAATATAAAATACTACACTTATGACAGCAATGAGAATTGCACTCCCAATACAGGACTTTTGTGATTAGAAAAACGCAGGATTGCTGGTGAACCCAGTCCTGAAAGCTGGTGTCTTAGATGATGGCTACAGTGACAACATGGATATGTGAGGCCATGATTCAGAAAATGCTAACAAAACCAGGTAAAGTAAATCTACAAGAATTCGATTTTCAAAAGATAGAGGAAAAATAACAAAAGGAAAAGGAGAAATCAAGGAAAGGCTAGTATTCCAAGTAAGAGCTGACATATTCATGGGGCAAAGGAGAATATATCCTAGGAAACCAATATTCAAGGGAAGGCAAGCAAGGAAAATAGCAGCTTAGTGAGGAACTTACCCACACAGCTCACAATGAAGCAAGCACTGAGGAGTGCAATGAGAATCCCAGCCGCAGACCAGTGTTTCAGGGACCACCAGCCTCCTTTCTCTGTTCAATCAGGAAGACAATAAACGCAGTTACCAGGGGGCCAGGGAGCCAAAATCCCCAGAAAGCTTGCAGTAATAAACAAACTGGATGAAGAACCTTAGAGCAATTAAAAACTTAAAGCAGAAAGAGATCTTACGAACTCCCTTAGAATAAATAGCCAGGTGGTAGCTCTGTGGCCCAAAAGAATCCAGGTAAAACACATGCACAATCGACTGGAATTTCCACATCTTTATTCCTTCTTCTTAACTATTATGTATTTCCATTTATCTCCTTTCTCAAAACATCACTTTTGTCTCCCATTTCTCATATCCCTGTGTTGACATTTGGTTTCTTCAGTATATCCAAGAGATATCTGCACTCCCGTGTTTATTGCAGCACTATTCACAGTAGCCAAAATACAAAATCAACCTGTCTATCTAAACAGATGAATGGAAAAAGAAAATGCAGTAAAATGTATACAATGGCATATTATTCCATCATAAAAAAGAATAAAATCCTGCCATTTGCAACAACATAGATGGAACTGGAGGACACCATGTTAAGTGAAATGAGCCAGACACAGAAAGACAAACATTGCATGTTCTGACTCATATGTGGGAGCTAAAAAATTGATCTCGTGGAGACAGTGAATAGAATGGTGGTTACCAGAGGTCAGGAAGGGTAATGGGGAAGAGAAGATAGAGAAGGGTTGCTTCATGGGTACAAAAAAACAATTAGATAGAAGAAATGAAATCTAGTGTCCCTTAGCACAGTGGGACAATTGTAGGTAAGAATATTTTTTTTTTTTTTTTGGCATGGAGTCCCACTCTGTCATCCAGGCTAGAGTGCAGTGAGGAAATCTTGGCTCATTGCAACCTCTGTCTCCCGGGTTGAAGCCGTTCTTCCTATCAGCCTCCTGAGTGGCTGGGATTACAGGCACATGCCACCATCTCTGGCTTATTTTTGTCTTTTTAGTAGAGATGGGTATTTCACCATGTTGGCCAGGCTGGTTTGGAACTCCTGACCGCAAGTGATCCACCCACCTCAGCCTTCCAAAATGCTGAGATTACAGGTGTGGGCCACTGTGCCAGGCCCAACAGTCATTTATTGTATAAGTCAAAGTACCTAAAAGAGATTTGGAATGTTCCCAACACAAAGAAATGATGAATATTTGAGGTGAGGGATAATCTAATTTTCCAGATGTTATCATTACACATCATATTCTTGTATCAAAATATCACATGTACCCTATAAATATGCACAACTTTTGTATCCATAAAAAATTTTAATAAAAAAAATTTTTAAACATTATTCATCGACATGCAAAGGGTTGAAGCTAAAGTCAAATTTTCATGCATTAAAAATGGGAAGCTTTCTTCTTACCAAAAAAAAAAAGAGAAAAGAAAGTACAAAAAAAATCTCAGGGTAATTGGAAAGAATGCTGCTGTCTGGATTACAAAATTAGTCAAAAGATTCTTTTTTTTTTTTTTTTTTTGAACGGAGTTTCGCTCTTGTTACCCAGGCTGGAGTGCAATGGCGCGATCTCGGCTCACCGCAACCTCCGCCTCCTGGGTTCAGGCAATTCTCCCGCCTCAGCCTCCTGAGTAGCTGGGATTACAGGCACACGCCACCATGCCCAGCTAATTTTTTGTATTTTTAGTAGAGATGGGGTTTCACCATGTTGACCAGGATGGTCTTGATCTCTTGACCTCGTGATCCACCCACCTCGGCCTCCCAAAGTGCTGGGATTACAGGCGTGAGCCACCGCGCCCGGCCTCAAAAGACTTTTAGGAGCAGTTATCTAATAATCAATACTTTCTCTATTTACCTTCTATCACGTAAATCTTTTCTGTCTCCCTAAACTTTCAAGAAAATCTAATACAAACCTCCTTTGGGCCTGCTACATCTGTCAAATCAGTAGCTCTTCAGCCTGTTCTTTAGCTACTTCTCTCCAGGTGATCTTATTACATCATACACTTCCTCCTCGGACACTGAGAAAATACTCGCCTGTACCTTGAAGTTGCCGCTCTTGCATCCTTACGCAGGCTCCCTGTGTTGAGAGGGTCCAGGAACCTTTGTATCTCTCTCATTAAAGATGTTGCCCAGAGACTCAGCTTCATTTAAAGAAACCAGAGCTCAGAGACAAACTGCTACACACCCACTCATAGGACTAAGAGACTTCCAATATTAAGTGTACCTCAAAAGAAGAAGTCACAGTTACAACTAAAGTTTCCAGTGATTTCAATACATGGGGGTGACAGGGTGGGTGGAGAAAGAGGAATTAAGAAACATATCGAAAACCGTTTGTGAGAACTTTGGCAAGAATACTTAGATCATTTCTTCAGTTCCTCATATAAAATTTCTCTCTCTGATTCCTATTCATTCTGGCATGCAAAATAGAACATTTTATATCCTCTAAAAGAAATCTATTTGGAGACCTTGGTTAAATTAAGTACTCCCTAGCTAACCTTTACATTGGTTACTTATTTTATGCAAGCCTTAATCCATGTGTTAAACAGTGTCCTAGGAAGTAAGTACAAGTCTGATTGAATGAAGTCTGCAAAATGAAACATTCTGAAATCAGTCTGCATAGGTGATGAAACGTTCTTACTGCATCAAGACTAATACTAGGCAGATGTCAGTGATATTTTGTAGTCTCCCTGACTAGGTGAAAGGGAGCTGAAGTGATATAAAATCAGAAACAGGCTTCATAAATTTGATACTGTAGCACAGAACATATAGTTGGTTTTCTCGTCCTCATAGATTCTCAATAGAGACACTCCCCTGAAAACAAAAGTTAGAGAAACAAGAGAAAAACCAGGTGTTTATTAATGTGTGCTGTACCCATCACTCAGGAGAGAAGGCAGTTCAAATGTATTCCTCTCTTTCAAGGCAGTGGCTTATAGGCCTTGCTTAAATAGTATTTTAACAAAGAGCCATAAATCTTATGGGGTGGTGAGAAAGGAAACAAACTTTTTATTTGAGAAATGTGAGCCCCTTGAAACTATCAAGTCCAGAGTGGAATCATGAGAGAGACTTGACAAGAGTCATGCCTCACTGCCACCTTGAGCTCAACAATTACCTCTTGAAGCCACATGTTATGTGGCTTCTAGACTAACTGAACCCTTCAGTTTCACAGTGTATAGCCAATTACTAATCAATGTGGTTTCTGTAAATCAATGATAATTTACTAATGAATAACTTTTCAAATCACTCCCTCTCCTGATTCATTCTTTTTTTACTTTTAATTTATTTTTCCATAAGTTATTGCGGATACAGGTGGTATTTGGTTACATAAGTAAGTTCTTTCTTTAGCGGTGATTTGTGAGATTTTTTTGCACCCATTACCGAAGCAGTATACACTGTACCATATTTATTGTCTTTTATCCCTCGTCCCTCTTCCATTCTTCCGCCCCAGTCCCCAAAGTCTACTGTATTAATCTTATGCCTCTGCGTCATCATAGCTTAGCTCCCCATATCAGCGAGAAAATAAAATGTTTGGTTTCCCATTCCTGAGGTACTTCGCTTAGAATAATAGTCTCCAATCTCATCTGGGTCAGTGCAAATGCTGTTGATTCCTTGTTATGGCTGAGTAGTATTCCATCACATATTTATACCACACTTTCTTTATCCACTCATTGACTGATGGACATTTGGGCTGGTTCCGTGATTTCACAGATTCTTTTGTTTTTTTCTTTAAAATCTTCAGTCTCTCCTTTATTCTCCAGTCCACTTACCAAGGCAACTTGGAAGTGTTTTCCCAAGAAGCTGTCCTCAGCCTTGGCCCAAATAAACTCTGTATGAATGTGACTTCAGCTACTTCCTTTAGGATGACAGTGAAAAGACAAAGAAGAGAGTATCTTCAGGATTCCAAAAGGAAATGAAATACAGGAAGACATTTGTATGGGAAGAGTAATGTCTGCTTTTAAATTCTTTTACAAGTATTGTAAAGGAGCTAATCCTTAGCTGGGAAAAGTGGAAAGAAGGGCAGAAAGAACTTCATCTTTGTGAATTGTTGTTCTGCCATCAGGCAAGCAGAAGGAGGGGAAGAATGTTCTCCTAATGGCTACCTTTTTCAGCTCAATAACATGCAGTTATCTTAGAGAGGGTTATTTTGGCTTCCTCCAATCATTACCCAAGGGCTTTCAAACACTTCATCATTTACATACAGTCTCTAAAATGTAGATCACTCTATTAACATCACAAGCATTTCCACATTCTCAAGCAAACAGTCTTAAATACAAGAAAATCTATTAGGAATATTGAACTTGTGATATAATAAGAAACATGTATATTTCATTTTTGTTTATCACAGAGCTTCTGAAACCCTAAAACTACCTGGTTGACAGAAATGAGCATCTTTTGTTATAATATTTGGGTTTTGTCCTCAGCTTCTCAATCATGCTCTAGAGTCATAAAGGTGCAAGAAACATCTTATGTTATCTATTTGGTTTTTGTTCCCAGTTTCTGAAATAGTTCCAGGGCAATAAAGACGAAAGAAAAAAAGTAACAATAGTTACCTAGTTGAACATTTAAAAAAAATTTTTTAAGATGAAAAGAGTGTCTTTTATTATTCGTAACAAGACCCTTTATCCAAGCCTGGTGCCTATGCTCATGAGGTTACTTCTGATGTTCCCCAAGACCACTTTAGGATAGGGGTTGGTTGCTGAGTTCAATCACGAATAGCTAATGATGTAACCAAACATGCCTTCATAATAGAGCCTCCATAAAAACTCTAAACAATGGGTTCAAACTGAACAGGGATTTTTAAAGTGACAAGACAGTTATAGTTATAGCCAGTGATGAAATGGACATTGAGAAACAGGATAAAGGCTCAGAGAACTTCCCCAATAGTTAATTTAAGATGCATTTGATCATAAAAGAGCAAAGGAGAAGAAGTGGCTATAAGACATCAACATTTGTTTCCAGTTCCCCTCAGAGACAGAGAAACACAAACCTAAGGATTGAGTCACTTGAAGGTCCAATAAAAGAACACATTCTTCTTAGCTGTCTGGAGGTAATGTAGATTAAAAGCCTCTTTTTTTCTCCTCTGTCTCGTTTTTATGCACCCCTAATCACGTTCTGGTCTTGACCATTAACAATCCTGTGCTCCCTTCTCTTTGTTTCTTTCCATTCCTTTGCCTGTATAAATTTCTAGATTCCAGTGGCATGCCTTTGAATCAAGAGTTCTGAAATGGGAGGAGCAAAGACAAAAAGAAGAACTATACCAATATAAAATATAATATGACACAAAATCAAGAGAGAGAATGCTAAATCAGAGCAAAAGCAGAATTGTGGTCAGCTCAGGTCAGATCTCTAGACAAACAAGTTATTTAAGCCTGTCCAGGGAGTAATGCAAAAACAAGCAATGGAGAAGATAGGAACTAGTAGAGATTGAAAATAAAAGCATAGACTAGTATACCAGTAGACAGAGACAAAGTGAAAATTGTTGTTTTAACCTGATCTCTTTTAAAGGAGACATGAAGGCCCGGCGTGGTGGCTCAGCCTGTAATCCAAGCACTTTGGAGGCCAAGGCGGGCGGATCACCTTGAAGTTGGGAGTTCAAGACCAGCCTGACCAA